GGAGGGGGCGTCCCGAAACCCCAGGACTCTCCTGACACAGAGCTTCTGCCTCTGCTGGATGAAGATCCTACCTCAGGCCTGGAATCTGTGGCTGCGGCCACGCTGGAGTCCCAGGAGGCTGAAGGGGGCGTCCCGTCACCCCAGGACTCTCCTGACACAGAGCTTCTGCCTCTGCCAGATGAAGATCCTACCTTGGGACAGGAGTGCATGGCTGCAGCCACGCTGGGGCCCCTGCAGGCTGAAGGGGGTGTCCTGTTACCCCAGGACTCTCCTGAGTCTCTACCTTTGTCTCTGCAAGAGGAAGATCTCATCTCAAGCCTAGAGGCAGCGGCTGTGGCCACGTCAGGGTCCCAGGAGGCTGCAAGTGGTGTCCCGTTACCCCAGAACTCTGCTGAAGCTCCTCTTCCACTCCTGGAAGATGAAAATTCCACCTCCAGCCCAGAGGTCATGGCTGCAGCTATTCAAGGTTCCCTGCAGGCCAAACAGGGAACCTCACTACCCCAGGACCCTCCAGAATCTTCTCCACCTCTGCAAGCTGGAGATTCTGCCTCAGGCCTGGAGGCTGTGGTTGTGGCCACACCAGGGGCCCTGAAAGCTCAAGCAAGCTGCACTCCGGGGAGCAAGGCCGTGGCCCAGCAGGAATTAGGTGTGGCCTCAGGACCGAGGCCTGTGCCCAAGGAGTGGGTTGCAGCACCCCCTGGTGACCCAGAGCCTGTGGCCTTGAACCAGGCCCCGCAGGATGGCCCCAAGCCAGGGGCAGAAGCTGGGACGCTTGGGCCCCAGGGAGAAGAGGCAGGGCCCACCCTGGACATGGAGGTCGCCAGCCCCCCTGAGGCTGCCCTTGGTCCCAGAGAGGGAGACCCAGGCCGGTCTCCTGTGGAGCAGGAAACATGTCCAGAAGCCCAGGCACCCACGGAGGACAGGGCTAAGACCCGCCTGCCTCCAGGAGAGGCCCATGGGCCTAAGAACCAGAGGGCGAGGGGTCCCAAGCCACCAGCACAGGGACATGGACCTAGGTCGGCACCCCGAGGGGCAAGGGATGCTCCTAAGGCCCTTCGCGCCACCTGCCCTGAGGTCAGCCAGGCACAGCCCCTGAGCCCAGGCAGGGAAGGCAGGGCCCTGGGCAGCAAGGGCACCCCAGCGTCCAGGCTTCCCGCAGCTCTGGCTTCCGGGGCTCAGCAAGGCTCCTGCCCAGGGTCCCCAGCCAGGGCTGTGTCCAGGCTGGGCGGGGAAGGCCCCATAAAGCCTGGCCCATCTGCATCGCCCTCCCCACAGCTGGAACCTGCAGCAGGCCACGGCCAGCGGCCCCTGGCCGCCCCAAGTCTCCTTAGCCCGTCCCCCCCGCCACTCCCCAGAACCGCAGCCCGGGGCCCACCCAGTGCACCCCGCACCAGGCTCCTGGACCCCAACCCCTCCGCTCCTGTTGCCTCTCGCCCATGCCGGGGTCCCCAGGAAGACTCCGTGGAGGGGGAGGAGCCCCCAGCCTCCCGGGGTCCGCTGCCACCTCGAGTGGGAGCCCAGCGGGCCACCGCTGCCTCAGGGACCACACAGCCTCGGGGAGCCAGGCAGCGCTTTGGCCTGGCACCCCAACCCCCACTCCTCAGTCCCAAGGCCGCTCCCGAGGGTGCCAAAGAGCCGGCCTCCAGGACCTCGCCCCCCTGCCAAGTGCCTCCTCTCCTGGGGTCCCGGGGCCCACGTGGCCCTCAAGGGCTCCCAGCTCTCGAACAGCAAGAGGACGAGGACAGCCTGGAGGAAGGTGAGAGGCGTGGGCGGCGCGGCTGCAGGACTTCTCGGTGGGCGCTGCCGGGCCCCAGTGTGGCCTCACTCCCGGCCCCTCCCCAGATTCCCCACGGGCCCCAGGCTCTGGCCAGCACTCGGACAGCCACGGGGAGTCGTCAGCCGAGCTGGACGAGCAGGACGCCTCGGCCCCTCACGCGCAGCGCCCGGCCCAGGTGACGCGTCGGGGAGGGCGGCCGCAGGGTGGCCTTGCCGACCCCCAGGAGCTCAGAGCCCCACTCCCCACAGGCCCCGACAGGCAGCAGCGAGGAGACCATCGCCAAAGCCAAGCAGAGCCGCAGCGAGAAGAAGGCTCGGAAGGTGAGCGGGACCCCACAGGGACCCGGGGCGGGGAGCACGGGCAGGCTGTCCTCAGAAAGAGCGCACCCCATGTCGGTGAAACCCCAGCCGCAAGGGGGCTCTGGGACCACCTGGGAGCCTGCGCCCCGCCCCCTAGAGACTTGAGACCCCAGTCACAGGCACCCAAGGTCTTGGGCATCTTCCCCAACCCGGCTCCTCTGTCTCAGGCCATGTCGAAGCTGGGCCTGCGGCAGATTCAGGGTGTCACGAGGATCACCATCCAGAAGTCCAAGAACATCCTCTTCGTCATCGCCAAGCCCGACGTCTTCAAGAGCCCCGCCTCTGACACCTACGTGGTCTTCGGGGAGGCCAAGGTCTGTCCCGGCTGTGGCCGGGCTGTGGCGGGGGGTGGGCGTGCACGGGCCTGCTGACACGTCGTCCCGTGCCGCAGATCGAGGACCTGTCCCAGCAAGTGCACAAAGCCGCAGCAGAGAAGTTCAAGGTGCCCTCCGAGTCCCTGGCCCTGGTCCCCGAGTCGGCACCCGGACCCCAGCTGAGGCCAGAGCTCGAGGAGGAGGAGGAGGAAGAAGAGGAGGTGCGGCCCAGGGCCCTGGGGCCCCTCGGGGTTGGGGGCTGCCTCGGCCCCCGTGACGTCCCCCTCCCCCACAGGTGGACGAGACGGGGCTGGAGCTGCGTGACATCGAGCTGGTGATGGCTCAGGCCAACGTGTCCAGGGCCAAGGCTGTGCGGGCGCTGAGGGACAACCACAGTGACATTGTCAATGCCATCATGGTGAGAGGCGCGGGACCCTCTGGCTCCCTGATGTCCCCAGGCTCCCCAAGAGGCCCTGCCGTGGGCTGTGCTGGGCCCCCGCGTGACCCTGTGCCCTCACTCTCTCCGCAGGAGCTGACGATGTAGCTGCCGCCTGAGCCGGGTCTGCCCTGCCCTCCCCAGCGCTGCCGCCCAATAAATCAGTGTCCTGACCGCACTGTCACCCCACTGTCATCAGTGTCCCCTGAAGGCCGGTGTCCCGTCACTCTCAAGGGTCCCCAGTGCCCTCTGGCACTCCTCAGCCTGGGGGCACCTGCGCCCCCCGTGGTGTCCCCGTGGCACTCGGACATCCCTGTGCCTCTGGCACCGTCCTTCCTCCAGGCATCCCCCACCCTGCTGTCCCCCCTCGTCAGCCATAGCGTCGGCTCTGGTGCCCCCTCGTATCCCCGACACCCGCCCGTGTTCATGTCTCTCACCACCCGCTGTCCCTTCATCACTCGTGTCCCCGCGTCACCCCCGTCCCCTCACCAGCTTCTGTAAGTGCCTGTCTCCCCAACACCCTCGCTTCCTGCCGGCAGCTGGTGGGTGCTGAACATTGGCTGCGTCTGGCCCACACCATGGCATTAGGCATGTGGCCCTGTGACCACATAGATGGCACCAAGGCTGTGGTCCACCTGTGTGGCACTGGGACCCACTGGGCCGGGCCAGGGGACAGTGTGATTTGTCTTTACCTCTCCTGAGGCCCCCAGGGAGCTGGGGGCAGCTCCAACACGAGGGGATAGCCCACGACAGAGGAAACTCTTCGTAAGACCCGGTCTATACTTCTAATCCCAGCTCTTGGGAGGCTGAGGCAGGAGTGTTCCAAGTTTGAGGCCAGCATGGGCTACATAGTTAAGTTCAGGCCAGCCTGGACTACACAGCCAGACCCTATCTCAAGAAACAAAGACCTGAGGGGCTGGGGATTTAGCTCAGCGGCAAAGCGCCTGCCTGGGAAGTGCAAGGTCATGAGTTCAATTCCTGGTACCGGAAGAAAAACGAAAAATGAAAAAAAAAAAAAAAAACCAAACCTGGCTCGGGGCCCTGCGCTGAGCTGTGACAGACCTGCCCACCTTGCTCCGGGCCTTTTGGCCTGGCTGGGACACAGTACGAGTGTCTGGGGTGTCCTTCTCCCCAGGGGGTACAGCCCCCAGCATGGGTGGGAGGGGGTACGAGTGTCGGGTTGGCCAGGAGCCTGCTGGATGCGCCCAGGGGTCTCAGCAGAGCTGAGTGTGCAGGAGGGCGCCCGGCACGTTCCCACCCAGGTCCCCTCCCCATGTCCTGCAAAAGGCTGGAAAGGGCCCAGGGGACACAGGCCACATGGAAGCTTTGGGGCCGACTAGAGATGGGGCCAGGACCCGGCACGGGTGTGAGGTGGGGCCGTGTCCGCTTCTCTGAAGCCCCCAACCCTGGGCCGAGGCCATAGAGCCTCGCGGATGGCGTCTGTCGCCAGAGGGCCTGGGGCGAAGACCACAGCAGGCAGTGCCCCCGTGGGAACCTGTGCGTGGGACAAGACCAAGGCATCCCAGCCACCTCCCGCCCCTGCCCATGACCCTGCGTCCCCCATCCCAGGACTGCAGGAAGACCGGGGCCTCGTGGCCGTGGCCAGAGTGACACCCTCCTGGCAACACGGCTTTCATCCAGGCGATCAGAAAGAAGCGCAGCAGCAGGAGATTAAATTATTCACATTGCAGTAAACTTCTTTTAAGGTCTCTGAGAGTGACATGAGGAACGTCATGTGCAAAATGACAGCTGTCTTGGCTTGGCCACAGGCCTGGCTTTCCTGCCGGCGTGGCTGGGCCCGGCCTCCGCACACGGGGCCGGTGCAGGCCCTGTTGAGCCCGGGACAAGCGTGGAGCCTCTGCCCTGCGCCAGGACGCGTCCTGCGGTGGCTCTGCGCCCCTTCACAGTAGAGGACCTGCTGCCGCCGGCCACCTATGCTGGCGCCAAGGGCCCGCAGCGGGGCCGGCGCCTCCTCCCGGGGCGGCCCGGAGTGGCCTTGGGGAGGGTGTGGCGCTCCCGCCACCCGTGTCACGCCGAGTCCTGGTCCATGCTGCAGCCCAGTGCCTCGATGTCACTGCTGATGTCCGAAATCATGCGGTCCCACTCGTCCCCCTCGGAGGGCCCCGAGCGGTCGTCGGGGCTGCCTGCGGCCCTGCTCCCGTTGGCGGTGGAGGTGGAGGTGGTGCTCTGCGCCCGCCGGTGCCGGCCGAAGCTGTCGGTGATGATGCCGCGGCCGTCCTTCACGCCGATGGTCTCCAGGAAGTTCTCGAAGTGCTGGCTGTCCTTCTCGGGGATGAAGGGCCGGAGACCTGCCACACGGAGCCGGCACAGACACGGCTCAGGGCCCAGGCAGGCGCACTGCCGCCCCAGGACCCGCCTGAGGACCCGGGCAGCGTACGGCCCTGACGCTCGCTGTCACCAAGGTGACCCCCGTTCCAGCAGTCGTCAGAGTCCTCATCTTACAGGCAGGAAAGGCAAGGCTGGGGAAGCTGAGGAACCCCCTGGTGGCCTTGGCAGTGAGCTGCCGTCCCCAGCCAGGCCTCATCCCAATACCGGCCAGCCAACCGCAATCTAGAGGCTCAGGGCCACTCGGGACCTCGAACCCCACTGCGGGCAGACAGCAGGCCGGCCCCATCCCAGGCGCAGAGGGGGTGGGGAGTGGCCTGGGCCCCACTCCTACAGCCGGGGCTCTGAGCGAAGGGAGGGCCTGCGAGGGCAGCCAGGAGTGGCAGCAAGCTCAGGCTCAGCTCTCTGCCACCCACTCCTTGAAAAATGGCGCCTGTCAGAGAGCGAGGCAGGAAGCCAATGGCTGCGGCCTCTAAGGCCATGTCCTGCGAGGGAGATCAGGGAGACCTCTGGGAGCAGCCTGGCTGCCTCCTCTTCATCCCGCCAGGAGCAGGGGCATGGGGAGGTGGCTAATGCCTGCAGGCCCATAAAAGAGCAAACAGGCCAGTCGATGTGGTACAGGGCTACAGTCCCAGCACTCTGGGAGGCTAAGGCAGGAGGATCACGGGTTCATGCCTCACTTGGGCAATTTAACAACTAGGGATGCAGCTCAGCGCAAAGGCCCTGGTACCTCAAAAAGAAAAGGCAGTGGGGAGGACACAGCCACCCCCACGGTTCAGTGGGGCACAGGCCCCAGAACTAGCAGACCTCGAGCGGCTTCTGCCGACTCACTGCTCTGAGCGCGGACAGAAGGGACACCATAGCGGGTCGCTGTCTCCTGAGGGCCAGCGCGGCAGGTCCCAGCCGGGGTGCTGGTGGCGGGGCTGCCTCTCCTGGCTGCCAGCAGCTGACCTACGGTGCTGAGCTCCTCGGGGGTCTTGGCGAAGGCTGATTCCTCCATCTGCGATGCCGTCTCTGCCTCTTCCCCCAGCAAACTCCTACACACTCAGCAGAACCCACTCGAGTGTCACCTCCCTGAAAAGCGCCCCAGCTCTTCTCGGGCACCTGCCCCACATCCCCCCGGCCCTCACCGAGCAGCAGGAACTTGCGGCTGTCCCCGTAGAGCTGCCTCAGGCTGATGCAGAACTCGTGGATGGAGGCCCCGGTGCGGTACTCATGCAGCAGCGCTGCGAACTGCTGGATCTCCTGCGAGGACAGCTTGGTGCGCAGCTGTGGGTGCAGCAGAGGGCCCAGCTGACGCCCGGGCGGAGCGGGAGGCAGGGTGGGGCAGGCGCCCGCGCTCCCGCAGGCCCAGCCAGACTGGGCGGGCAGCCGCATACCGTGAGCATGTAGTCCTGCAGCAGCTCCGCCGCGCTGGTGCTCAGCTCGCTCTCGCTGGCCGTCTTGCCGTGCGGCGACGCCTGCATGCAGGACAGCGGCGGCAGCCCGCCAGCGTCCGCACAGTCGGGAAAGCAGCTGTAAAGGGGCGTGGCATGTGGGCGGCGGGGCACAGGGATGTGGAGGACGGTGGTGGCGAGGACAAGAGAGAGATGGCCGGGCACGGCCAGGGCTGGATGGCTCCACCCGCGCCTGCCTCCCCCCCCCCCCCGTGTGTGACTGTCACACAGCAAAGGCAGAGGGTCCGTGGCCCGAAGCGGTGCCAGAGTGCAGGGGACACGGCCGGTGATGTGTGAGAGACACCGCAGGGGAGGGCAGGACCCACAGACAGGACATGCACAAGGTCACCCCGCAGCTGCAGAAGGCAGCGAGGGGCAGAGTGGGGGGCACTCGGCCAGGGCGGGACGCGGGGTGCAGGGCGGCGGGCGCACTCACAAGGTGCTGGCCTCGGCGTCGTAGGCCTCCTTCAGGTCCACTTTCGTGGAAGAGTCATCTGCGGGGGCCCAGGAGACAAACACCACGATCAGGCTGGGGCGCTGCCCCGTGTGGCCTGAAATGAACCTCAGGACATGGCTGGCCCCAGTGCCGCGTTCTAGGAGGCACAGGCCGCTCCGGCCTCTGGGACCCCGAGTCCCTCCTCTTGGAGCCGGCCAGGGCCTGCACGTGTTGCGTGCCGAGGGCGGGGCTCCCGGCCGGAGCCCACGCGGAACATCCTCAGCCGCCTTCCAGGGCATGGAGTGTGCACAAAACCGAACCAGACAGGCTCTGTCACCTGTCCCAGGTCACAGGGTTGGACAGTCTGTCCCTGGCCCGGACACAGCCCGGGCCCGTGGATCCTGGCAGAGGGCCTGGCGCAGAACAGCCGCCCGGGGGGGGGTTGGGGGGAGGGAGCTAGCATGTGACGCCTTTGTCCATGTGACCGGGACTGTAGACTGCATCTGGACCCAAACAGCCCATCGCCACGGGCAGCTGGGAGAAGCAGGGGGATGGGAAAAACTGACGGGGCACAAAGGGGGAAGGACCCTGGTTCTGTGGCTTGACGCTGAGAAGGCGAGGGGCTGACACCACACTGCGGAGCCCAAGGGGCTGCAGGCCAGCAGCCGTGAGGCCCACGTGGGACCAGGTCTATAGAGCTCTGCTAGCAGCCTAAGTTAGAGCTTGTTTATTTTTTTGGTACTGAGACTTGAACTCACAACCCCACGCTTGCTAGGCAGGTGCTGTGCCACTGAGCTACATCCCAAGCCCCCTAAGCTGGAGTTTGTTTTGTTTTTTGTTTTTTTTTCGATACCAGGAATCAAACTCACGACCTCACATTTGCCAGGCAGGCACTATGCCGCTGAGCTAAATCCCCAGCCCCTAAGCCGGAATTTGGAAGGTGTCACAGCACAAGACACAACTCCACACACAAAGGCCGAGGCTGAAGTACACATGCACATGTGTGTGCACACACCCCACAGCAGACAGATGTGGGAAAGCCTGGCGGGGAGAGGCCCACAGAGCCCCTGTAAGAATGGCACCACTTGTGTCTGCTTCGTGATGGAACTCCTGTAGCAGTGGACGTGGGAGCTGTGTGTTTTTCAGTTAAAAAAAAAAAAAAAACTTAAAAAAACAAACCCTGGCCGGGTATAGTGATGTGCGCCCATGCTCTTGGAGGCTGAGGCAGGGAGAAGAACCCTGTCTTAAGGATAAAAAACAGAAAGTTTTTTTTTTTTTTTTTTTTTAAAAAAGGAGGGCTGGGACTGTAGCTTAGTGTAAAGACCCTGGGTTTGATCCCCAGTAGTAGAAAACCCAGTGGGATTCCACAGCATCTTTTTGTTCGTTTGTTTGGTTTCTTTGAGATAGGATCTTGCTATGTAACTCAGACTGGCCTTGAACTTGTGGCAATCCTCCTGCCTCAGCCTCCCACAGCTGGGATTACAGGCCTGAGCCACCACACCCGACCTCAACAGCATCCTTTCAAGGCCAGGCAGTCAGGCTGAAGCGGTACTGCCAGACGCGCTGCTGACCTGCACGCCCAACGTCCCCATGGGCGACTCGGGAGGGCCCCAGGAGGTGGCGAGGGCTTGGCTGTCACCCCGACGCAGCGGGGTCCGTGGGGGCTGGAGGCCGCACAGAACCGGCTGTGGAGGGACAACAGCTGTCCCAGCCGGGCGCACAGAGGGCTGTGCACCTGCGAGCCGCCAGGGGAGCCGGGCAGGGCTGCCGCCCTCACACCAAAGCCGCCACGCCCTTCTCCTCCTCCCCCCGGCCCACGGTGGACAAACCGCTGATCTTCAAGGAGCAACGGCTACAAGAAGGGATGCGACTGCGGCCCCGCAGACCTGGCGGCCACAAGGAGGCCGCGCCGCTCCGCGCCCAGCTCGTCCCCTCCCCGCCCCCGCCTCGGGCGCCCTCACTCACCGCTGTGCAGGGACAGGTGGTGGGTAGGGGTGGAGGCCCCATCGAAGATGGCTCGGTCCAGGAAGTCGATGGTGGACTCCGTGTAAACGATCTGGAAGACCTGGCCAAGCAGGGAGCACAGCTCTTCCGCGGCCACCTGGAGGGGGTGGACAGCGGCAGCTGCCCTGTCGGAGTGGCCATGGCGAACCACCCCAGGCTCTCTAGGAGGGACAGGGGCCCAGGGGGCCTCCCAGTGCCCAGAGACTGTGCTGGGCCGGGGCACCGGCTACTGCACACCCTGCCCAGGCGCGAACAGAGCCCCAGCCCGAGCCCGACGCAGCCAGGGGAGGGGCACGCCACGCAGACCCGCCTCGGGACATCTTGGGAGGCAGGGGCTGCTCAGAGCAGGGCTTTTCTCCAGGGGTGATTCTGCCTGTCCCTCCGGGGGACATCTTCAGGTGTCAGCAGGGACAGCTGGGGAGCTGCTCAGCTGCCACAGTGCCCAAGGGAGCCCCCCCTCCAATGAAGAATCCAGTGGCTGAAGTTTCGACCCCGCCAAGGCTGGACAGCACTAGGCAGCGGCATCTAAGGCGGCCAGCCACTCTGACCCATCTCACAGATGCAGATGGCACACGGGAAGGTGTCAGGTGACTCCCCAAGGCCATGGGGAATCAAACCTGTAACCTACGAGCCCCCGCTGCCACCCGCACCGAGAGGAGAATGACAGGTGGATTCCCCTGGGCACCTCGGGGACGGGCCAGAGGGTGGCAGGGGCCGGGCTGGGGCGCAGGGGCTCGGGGAGCCGGCTCACCTTGCTCTCCGTGGCCAGGATGACCAGGCAGCAGGCCTCCACCGGCCCCACCGCGCTCTCCGGCAGGGGCCCCGCGCCGAGGCCTCTGGAGCTCTCCGCGCACAGGCTCTGGCTGGGGGAGATGCCTGGGTCCTGGGCTGGGGGTGAACGGCCATCAGGGTGGTGCCGGGGCGGGAGGACAGGCCCAAGGGCACTCAGGACACCTCTGTCCGGTGCATGCCAGACATGTGCCCTGGGCAGGTCCCTCCCCTCCCCTGAACAAGGATGAGACAGGACAGCCCGGGGCTCCAGGGCCCAGGAGCAATCCCCACGGTCACACTCCACTGTGGGTCATCTCGCTGGGCAATGGCACCCACATGAGTCGCCCTTGTGACCTTGCAGCATCTGGGCTAAGGATGGAGGAGACACAGGACACCCAGGACTTGTTTGTTTCTTTCTGAAACAAAGTCTCTTTATTAGCCGAAGCTGGCTCCAAATCAAGATCCTCCTGCCTCAGCCTTCTAAATGCTGGGATCACAGCCATGTAGCACCACACTCATCTATGCAACTCTTCATCTACACAAAAGACAGTTTCACAGGGTTCAAGTTAACCATCCAGGAAGTTTCCATCAACTCTGGCCTAAGGCACTTCCTCCTTACACAGATGACTCCCGACACCCAGGACACAGGCCACACATGGCTCTGTGGTCAGAGACAGAGGGCAGCTCCTCCCGGGAGAGAGGGCAAAAGGGTCACACAGCCTGGGGGACGAAGGGCCAGGCGCAGGCGAAGCTGTGAGGCCCTCAGTCAGACCAAGCTGCCCTGCCCCCAACTGCCACCAGCCGCCAGGCTCCTGAGCACAGGCGCAAGATGCCTCCTCAAGCTGGGCCCACGAGTCCCCACCACGGGGCTTTAGGCCTGGCCCGGGGGCACTGACCCACGCGCTCCTATGTCCACAGTGGCCACGGCCACTGTGGAAATGTTCAAGTCGGGAGGAGGGAAGGAAGGGGCAAGAAAAACATGAGCGAAGGAGGAAAACGAAAACAAAGCTTTGTAAACAAGGAGGGGAGAGGCGGAAGCGGGGACGGGGAGAAAGCGGCCTCGGGCTGTGCCGGGCACCGACCCCTGTGGCGAGTGTGATTGTTATGTGACCTAAACTGTACCAGCAGACTTAATGTAAAACAAGAACATATGCACCGCTGTCTCTCAGCTTCCGAGCCGGGGCCTGGGGCGGCTCTCAAGGAAGCCGTGGGCAGCTGTGCCGTGGACGGCGGGGCAGCCACGGCCAAGGGCGCCACCCCCGCCCGCCCTGGCTTCACGGCCCGCCCCTCCCGTCACGCACAGGCGCTGCGGGAGACGCACCGGGGACCTGCGCCCTCCAGCCCACCTCTGGCCACCGCCACCCGGAGACCTGGGCCCTGGTCCCCGAGTGGCACAGAGACAAAGGGAGCGGCCCCCACCTGCCCAACACCCGAGGCTGCCGGGCCGGGTCCCGCCCGTGGGGCACAAGGCCGAGGAAACAACCTCCGTGGTGCTGGCCACAGTACCTCTGAGTGGCCCAGGCACCAGCCCAGCCTGGCCCTCCTGGGCCTCAGTTAGTCCACCTGGGCATGGGCATGGGGGTGGGACAGATTCGAGAGGTCAAAGGAGAGAATTCATGCCAAGAGTTCTGGGCTGGCTGGAGCCACATCAAATCGCCACTGTTGGAGATGAAAACGGTTCACTACTGTCAGTGTACCAAACACCATGAAGGGCCGGGCGTGGCAGCGCACGCCTGTCATCCCAGCACTCGGGAGGCTGAGGCAGGAGGGTCATTTAGAGTTCGAGACCAGCCTGGGCTACAAAGTGAGCTCAAGGCCAGCCTGAACTGCATAGCAAGAGCCTGTCTCAGAAAGACTAAATAAATAAATAAATAAACACCATGACAGAAGACAGGCACTACGGCTCAGATGTGGAGCATCCCCAAAGGTGCTGAAGTTGGGTCCCCAGGCGCCGCTCTTGGAAGGTGGGGCCTGGCGGGACGCTGCCAGCCCTTGCAGGGGGTCCCTTCAAAGGAGACCGTACCCAACGGCTCCTCATCAAGGACTACTGAAGCGCCGCAGAAACCTCGCCTCCCTGCCTCACCCCTCACGCCCTAGTGCCCCCCTCCACTGTCCTGGGGCAGCACCGCCTGACAACACAGCCCACAGGGACAGCGCGACACAGCTTCTCCCTTCCTTTCTCACTGGCTCGAACGCCAGGCCAGGGTCTCCGGGAGGTGAGAGACAGCGGCTTGCGCACGGGCACCCAGGAAGGCCGGGGTCCCTGCCGTCCCAGCTCTGGGGACACGAAGCAGTGCTCCTCCAGGGTCGTGGCCCCGGCGGCCCCATGTCGGCCTCTCCGGGCTGCACTGCCCGGGCGGTGTGGGAGCAGGAGGGCCCACAGGCACCAACGTGTAGTGGTCCCAAAGGCTGTGTCCCTCAAGCCCCCAAAGGCTCTGCGTATGACACAGGCCTGAGGGCCACAGCAGCCGGCCCCGCCCTGCCCCGCCCCGCCCTCGCACTCAGCACAGGGCTGCAGAAGCGCCGGCACTGCACGGAAGTCACGGCTATGGCTCAGGACCAGGGCCCTCCCGGCCGCCCCGCGCCTGCCCTCCCCGCACCTGTCTTCAGCACCACCAAGTGCGCGGCGTCGTCCCGCACGTAGGAGACGGCAGCGATGTCGTGGATGGGCACCCTGAGGATGACATCCTCCCCATCCCGCCAGGCCAGCTTGACATTGTAGGCGGACAGGCTGAGCACAGCGTCGTGCTCCTGCGTCAGGTGTCCCGGGAGCTGGTGCGCACGCTGCAAAGGACGGGGTCTCACTATGTAGCTCAGGCTGGCCTTGAACTCGCAGTGATTCTCCTGCCTCAGCCTCACCAGTGCTGGGATGACAGGTGTGTGTCACCACAGCCAGTTCAGATTCAGGCTTACACTACACAGTCTGGAATAACTGGAAATTGTGAAATTTGGAAACAGCCCCACACCACACAGGGTTACGTGAGACCGAAGAACAGTCCCGTGGCCGGAGGCACGTGGGCCCATGGCGTGGCGGAACTGGAACTGGGTCGCCCCTTCCAGGTGAGTCCCAAGCAAGGGGACCGAGGCCTTGGCCGGCCGGGGCAGAGCACGCAGCAGGCGCTGGCTTACCTTGGCTTTGTCTATGAAGTGCAGGATTTCCGTCCTACTGGAGGGATTCAGGTACCCTGGGATGGACGTCAGCTGACCTAAATACTGCAGAGCGGAGAACGGGTGAGGCTGGGACCGGCCGCCGCCATCGCCGCCACAGCACCTAGCCCGACCACCTCCCCGTCCCCAGGACACCAGGCCCGGGGCCCCCATCCGGCTCTGCCAGGACGCGGACCTGGATTCTCACAGGGGTCTTGGGGGCTGAGGGCAGCTTCCACATCTGCTTCGGCGCACTCGGGGTCATGACCACACGTCCCGCCGGGCCCTCCCGAGCTAGCTTTGCAGGACCTGTACAGGGATGGTGGCGGTCTCCTGATCACCGTGTGGGGACTGAACCCAAGGGCACCATGGACAGCATCGTTCAAACCTGAATTCCCAGCACTCGGGAGGCTGAGGCAGGAGGGTCACTGAGAGTTGAGGCCAGGCCGGGCTACTTAGAAAGTTCAAGCCCAACCTGAAGTCCAAAGTGAGGCCCTGTCTCCAAAACCCAAATTAAATAAACAGTGAATCACAAAGGCCAACGCGGCTGAGAAACGACCCCAGACAGGAAGACAGCATGCCAGTCCGTGACCGTGTCCCCCGAGCTCCCCAGGCAGAGACTGAGCTGGACACCGAGTCCCTCAGTGGGAGATCAGGGAAGCGAGGATTCATCTGTGAGGGCAGAGGGGGGGTACTGTCTGAGCCTGGGTCCCTGGGTCCCTGGGAAAAGGCCAGTCCCACTTCTCTCTTGTCCGACACGTCCCTTTCCCCACTCCGCCACACGGTGGCGCTCCGAGAAGGCCGTGTCAGCCCTTTCCTTGGCTTCGGTGCTCCGTTCCCGCAGCACGGAGCAAACCTTGGGCGACCGACCAACGCGTGGAGACACACTCACGGCGTGCCCTGACCTCCAGCCTTGGCGCATGCAGGCTCCCGGGTCTCATGAACTCCACAGGGTGTTGCTGTCACTGTCGCTGCTGTTTTGAACCCAGAGCCTTCCCACAGGGCTACACTCCCAGACCACCCCCTTTGAGATTTTTTGAGAGGGGTTCTTGTTGCTGAGTTTTTAAACTGCCCAGGCCAGGCCTGAACTTGTGATCCTCCCAGAGGGCTGGGATTACAGGCGCATACCACCATGCCTAGCTGTGTTTTGTTTCAGACAGGGTTTCACTATGTAGTTTAAGACGGTCTTGACTCTCAAGGATTCTCCTGCCTCAGCCTCCAGGATTACAGGTGTGTGTCACTATGCCCAGTTTATGGCATGATATTTTTAACGGTGTGGGCTTTGTAATGGATTACTGATCCCTCCCTAAGAGCAGAATTCTTGCACTCAGCACTTTGCAGCCACTCACCACATACTCATGTTCGCTATAGAAAGGGAAGTAGCGGGGTCTCCAGCTTCTGGTCTGGCAGGTGTGGGGCTTGGGGCTGTCACACCCCCCTTACTGGAAGGGAGCTGCCCCGCTGAAAACCAGCAGCAATTCCTCTTAGATCTGTCAGGCAACTGAGGTCACTGGTCAAGCAGCCCGAATCCAAAACTCAGACAGGTTGTTTTTTTTGGTTTTTTTTGTTTTTTTTTGTTTTTTTTTCAGTACTGGGGTTGAGGCTTGGGCCTTACAAGTGTTAAGTTTTTTTTGTTTTTTTTTCAGTACTGGGGTTGAGGCTTGGGCCTTACAAGTGTTAAGCAAGTGCTCTACCTTTAAGCCATATTCTCAGGCCTACTTTTTATTTTGAGATAGGGTCTTTCCAAATTGCCTGCGCTGGCCCCAAACTTGCCATCCTCCTGCCTCAGCCTCCCAAGAACAGATAATCCTTGTTTAATGAGCTACCTATTTAACAACTGTTCTGCTTTAAAACCTCTTTTATTTTGTACAGTTCTGTACATCTTGGGTTTTTTTTGTCTTTTTTGGACAGGGTCTCGATATGCAGTTCAGGCTGGCCTTGAGCTCACTTTGTAGCCCAGGCTAGTCTTGAACTCACAATGATCCTCCTGCCTCAGCCTCCCGAGTGCTGGGATTGCAGGTGTGCGCCACCACACCCAACTGTACATCTTGATAATACAGCCTCAGTGTCTTTTTTTGTACAGTACACCTTGTTTATACAGTAGTGTATTTTTGCTGACTGTATATACAGTTCAGTGCTATAGCTTTGTGTTCTGTTATACATTACAGCACTGCATGGAAGAGTTATGCAGATAAAAGCAGAGTCATCCGGGAGCTTCCTCTGACCAATTCTTTGTTCTGAATACTGTAATGCACATACTGTGTACAATTCCTCACTCAGTGACCAAGGCATTCACCGACCCGGCGCAGGCATGGAGCTGTGTCGGCAGCTGGAAGTCCAGGCCGGCGCCACTGTGCACCTCGAAGTTCTGATGAAACTTCTGAGCATCAACATGATGCTCATAGGGCTGGGGACTTAGCTCAGCGGAGCAGCGCCTCTCTGGCAAGCACAACGTCCGGAGTGCGGTTCTCAGTACCAGAAGAAACAAAACAAAACAAAAATCAGGATGCTTAAAAATGTTTCTGCCAGGCATGAGGGTGCACGCCTACAACCCCAGCCTGTAATCCCAGGATTGCTGTGAATTCAAGGCCAGCCTGGGCTACAGAGTGAGTTCAAGAGCAGCCTGCACTACACAGTGAGACCCTGCTTCAAAAAATGAAAAATAAGTAAATAAATAAAAATAACTAAATTTAAAATGTTTCAGCCGGGCGTGGTGGTGCATGCCTGTAATCCCAGTACTTGGGAGGCTGAGGCAGGAGGATCATTGCAAGTTTGAGACAAGCCTGGGCTACAAAGTGAGCTCAACGCCAGTCTGACCCGCATAGCGAGACCCTGTCTCAAAAAGACCAAAAATGAAAGAGGATTCCGATTATTTGTCAAGTTTATTGCAAACCCTAAGACAGCCACTAAAATTTTTAAAATAAGTATAATCAATATGGTAAAATAGGAGAAAAATGTAATCACATAAAATGCTCAAACAAGCTGGGCGTGGTGATGCACACCTGTAGTCCCAGCACTCAGGAGACTGAGGCAGGAGGATCACTGTGAGACTGAGGCCAGCTGGGGCTACTCTGTCTAAAAAAAGACACAGAACTGCAAGCCCCTGGGACAGAACAGAGAGCCTGGGAATCAACCCTACATGTGGTCGAAGGGCTCCATGAGGCAAGGCACTCAGGCAGGAGAGACAGTGGTGCTGGGGACACCGGACGTCCGCGAGCAGAAGTGTGACCTTTGGGTCTCACCTAACAGCACATACAAAACCAGCTCAAACAGATGAAAGAGCCAGAACTCTCAATCTCCCAGAAGAAAAGGGGCAAATGCTTCCCCCGACACCGGTGTGGCTGTAGCTAAGTGTGAAGCCCCTGGCTCAGTCCCCAGGACAGAGGCGGGCCGTCCCCCGCCCCCCACACACAGTGACGCACTGTGACTTTAAAGGCCTGGCGGGGCAAGGGTCGGAGAAGATCCAGCGACACTGGAGCTCTGCACACTGGCGGGGAGTGAAACTGGTGCGGCTGCCAGGGAACCGACCGCAGGTCCCCCAACTCGGACCTGCAGTTAGCGATCCATGTGGAGATGCCCCGCGGGGTTCAGACGGGAGGAACGAAAGCAGAGCCTGGGAAGACTCTGGGACGTCCACGCTCACGGCAGCTCGAGGCAGGACGGAGAGCAGTGACCACACGGCGTCCCCACCAGCCACAGGAACAGGATGTGACTGACACACGCCAGACTCCGGGGACATCGGCCTCCGCCGCGCTGGGCCACAGAAGCACAGAGGCAGGGACTGAGCCCTGCGAGACCCCCGCGCAGCCCGAGGCACAGAGGGGCACAGCGAGGCAGGCACGGGGCAGGGCGGAGGCTGACGCTGGCGGACGGGGTCAGAGTTTCAGGATGGGCTCGTGGGTCGTCCTTGGATGGACAGCGACGGCTGCACAGGAGTGAGTGGACTCTTACCGAGCTGCAGGCTTGGATATGGTTACGACAGCGCCGGGCACGGTGGCGGGCGCCAGCACTCGGGAGGCTGAGGCTGGCCTCAAACTCTCAGCAGTACTCCTGCCTCAGCCTCCCAAATGCTGGGATTACAGGCGTGGGCCACCATGCTGGCTCCTGCCCCTTCCTGAGCGTGACAGGCATGAAAGGAGACAGGCAGGTGTCCTTCACGGTGTGCAGTCCTCCCACCGGCCTGTGGCCTACAGGAGAAAGGCTGCGGGAGCAGACAAGGCCACTGGAAGCCCCTGAGATGGACCCCAGTCCCTGACTCTGGGTAAGTCAAAAACAGCATCATGCGAGACATGGTGGGGCCTATAATTCCAGCACTCTGGGAGGCTGAGGCAGGAGGATCACAAGTTCAAGTCCAACCTCGGCAGCTTAGCAAGATCCTGTCTCAAACTTTTAAAAAAATGTTGGGGATGTAGATCAATACAAAGGCCCTAGATTCAATCCTGAGTCCCACAGAAAGAGGGAGGGAGTCGGGGGTGAGGAGGGTCATTTCCCGGCGGGTGAAGCCGGGATGAGCAACGTTCTCTAAAGGCTTCCAGGACGAGGGGAAGGTGGCTCCAACTCATGTGCCTCCTGCCCGCCCCCGAAAAGCTGGAGAGACCCTGATGGGTGACCATGACAGCCGCGAGCACACAGCCCGGAACCTCCATCGAAACGGACACGGGGCGGGGCCGCGGCGAGTGCAGCTCCCAATGTGGCGGCCGCTGCTCTCCCAGGTCAGGGACTGCTCGCGTCAGGGCAGACGGACCACAGCGCAGGCGCAGTCTGAGCCAGATGGGACGGGACGGGGCCCAGAGCCAGGCCACGTGACGCCCAGCTGGGTGCGGGAAGCCTCTTCCCGCTCGCACTCGAAGCCCTGCGGTGCAGACCTGCGCTGACCCCGTGGACCCCAGGGCCGCCACCTGCGGGAGAACACCCAGCCACTTGGGGGCCCGCTGGTCCATCCGGGCTCTTGGACCCCATAGCAGGAAACGCACTTTCCTGGCCAGGACTGGGGTGGACCCAGGTACCACTTTGGCCCTCTCAGCTGCCATGAGCCAGCCTGCTCTCCAGGGCTCACGGAGGGTGTG